TAAGACCTTAATATCTTCTCATATGACAACCCTTCCATCCTAGGCACCATTCCAGTAACCTTCCTCTGAACCCTTTCCAACAATTCAATATTCTTCCTTAAGTAAGAAGCCCAAGACTGAGCACAATACTCGAAATGTGGCCTAACCAGTGACCTACAGAACGAAATTATAACCTCTTTAGATTTGTATTCAATATTTATGTAGATATAAATTAAAATCCTATTTGCCCTACCACTAGCAACAGCACACTGCTTGGATGACTTAAGAGATTGATCAACCATTACACCAAGATCCCTTTCTTTTATGACACTGTTAAGGTTATTCCCATCGAAATTATACTTATAATTCAAATTATGATAACCCACATGCATTATCTTGCATTCATTATAATTAAAATCCATTTGCCACTTATTTGCCCAACTCACTAAATGATCTAAATCCTTTTGTAAAACAGCAGCATTCTCTTAACAGGCTCCCCAGTGACACAGCGGTATGTCTTCGGATTTACAACGTTAGAAACCGGATTTCAATACCCATAGTGAGTAGAGCACAGATAGCCCTTTGTGTAGCTTTGTGCTTAATTACATAAAAAATCCTCTTCACAGCTAGCAACACTCAAGACCTTGACATCATTAGCAAATTTAAGTAAATTATTAACCATTCTTTCATCTTTGTCGTTGATGTAAATCAGAAAGAGCAAAGGTCTTAAGACTGAACCCTTAGGTACCTCATTTGTCATATTAATCCAGTTTGACTGAACTCCATTTATAAAAAACCATTGTTTTCTTCCATTCAGCCATTATTCTATCCAATTTGCTAACTTATCTCCCACACATACAGAGATAATTTTTACAAGCCTTTTATGTGGTACCGTGTCAAATGCTTTCTGAAAATCCAGATACACCCAATTGTAAGGCAAGTGAAACCATGTCGACTATCCAATAAAATTCTAAACTTTGTTTAGTGATTTTGCAAAGCAGTTTTTATCAGACTTTAAAAAACTTTTTCCACAACTGATGCAAGTGCAATAGGCCTATAATTATTGGGACAATTTACATTATGTCCTTTGAAAAGAGGAGTGACATTAGCTAATTTCCAATCCTTTGGCACCTGTCCACTATTCAAGGACTTACAAAAAACAGTAGCAAGTGACTTACATATCCAATCCTTAAGCTCC